GGAGATTTTTATCAAATAATTCACAAAAACATGATGTCAATTAAAATCAATGATTTTTTAATTTTATAAACTTTTAAGTTAATTTTTTATTATGACAGGTTAACTTATGAATTCTATAAAAAAAGTAAAATCTTTATGAAAACAACTTAATTGAAGCTGTAGTAGAAAAGTGGGCAAATTTAATAAGTTTTGGACATGTTTATAAAAAGAATGATCACTGCAAAACAAATATCCTGATAAGGTGGCAGGAACTACAGCAGTCATTATAATAGTGGAAACTGCAATCATTTCAAGTGCCTTTTTAATGTGTATGATGATTCTTATGCTACTTATTTGAGATTTTTTGACGAAACATAGATTTTTAAAGTGATTAGATTGCTAAAAATAAAGCTGTTTTTTTGCTACGTCAAAGAGATGTTCTTTTTTACTAACTTTATATTAATATAAATATCTTTTAATGATGTTTTAGTGAAAGAGAATATTACGAAACGCAATTAAAGATTTACAAAGTAATATCATTAGTTATTTAATATTTTCGAATTTGTTGACATGTTTAAGAGTTTTTATTACTTAAAATAGTTGAATAATATAATTTATAACTTTATTTAAACATCAGAACAAATAGAAATTCTTAAAAAATAAAATTAAAGATTTACAAAATAATAAATTTAAAAAAAATAATCATGTTATCAAAACTATAGTTAATTTAAATTACAATTATTGCAATACTATAATAAAAAAATTTCTTATTAAATCTGTTATGTACAACTTGCTGGACCCACTTTCTACTGTTTTTTGGCAAACAATTTACATTACGTTTGAAGAAAGAATCATCTTTTAACTGTTAATGTCAAAATGTTTATGTTTAGTAAAAATAATTTATACAGCCTTCAAGTATTTTTCACGTCTATACACACCGTTTAAAAATCTTAAACATAGCTAAAGCAGGCAATAGACTACTAATATTTTTTTATTATAATTTAACTAGGTCCTGAATTCATATCGTTAGCTTTACATATTATAAATATGTTATTTTAAACTTTAATACTTTAAATTAATGTTTAATAATAAATGTTCACTTATATTGTAATCATTGAAACTAATATTCATTTTTTTCACGTAACAAAGACTTTTAATATTTTAGTTAGTATAACTAAGGGGGCACCATCATAAAAGTTCCCAAAAAGAGATATACCATTTCTAATTGAAGGCAATTTGGTGAATCCAATACTAGCTTTATTTATACCCTGTGTGGATCAAAATGTTAAGATATTTGAGCTTAAAGTTGTAACTGATAGCATGTATTCTTATAGGGTTGCGTGAAAAACGAGTTGTTTAACGTTCATAATGAGTCATAATAAACTGCCCCAGGAGTTAAATCTATTCGATTTACAGATCAAGTCTTTGTCTTTAAAGTGTTGCATTAAAAATTAAGGGTAATGGGATCATTTAGCGATGAATTTGTGATAGCAATTAATAAATAGTCGTGTCCAAAGGTTCATGAGGTTACGTGGGTCGCATACATACTGACTCACTTTGTCGTGCGATATTTGAAAAAGTTAAAATTCATACGGGTTGAAGTTTGTACCCGTTATTATTTGTAATGAGGGAGTATGTGATAGAAAAATACTGTTACATTAACTTTTAGTCTTATAAGATTTTTATAACATACAGGTACTGAACACTATCTATACTTAGCTATAGCAGAAAGGTGATATACAAACAAAGACATAGATGGATATACATTATCACTGCAGTGATGTACATAGTTACTGCTAAACCGACCGACACACTGCTGTACCTATCTGCACTGGACTGATCAAAACGAAAATTCTGTTTTCACAAGAAGTAAAACCATACAGAAAAATATCTTTTTTTCCACTTTACATTTCATTAAAAATAGCATAATAATTTTTAGACACATTTATTTGTTAAAAAACAAAACTTAATTTTTTTTTTTAATCTTTGACCTAAGTGGTAGTCGCAGGAGCCCCCTTGAATAAGTTTCGAACTTTTCCTAAAAGAAGTCAGGGTTTTTCGAAATTTGTAACACACGTAATAAACAGTATAAGGCTGGCTTAGTAAATAATGTCTGTTGCAGCCGTTCTTTGCTTAAGGCCTATGGCCCCATAGTAGTCTTACTGCTCTGCTGCTTACTAGCTGCGTAGTAGAGTCAATAGAAGGTCGAGCCGCCACGCGACTCTCTTCAGCGAGGAGAGCCACGCCGCTGCTGCTGCCCCTCTCGGGCTTCTCAGTTTGGAAGCCGAACAGTACGGACGTGTCGCGCGCGAGCCAGCAACACATATAGAGTTGTACGTGCCCCTCCCCAACGTGGCCTTTTTCTTGATTTTAGAGCAATTAGGGAGTATTTTAATGAATAAACACATTTATACCTAAACCTAACAAGCAGCTCGTGTTCATTAAGGTGAACTCTCGCGTCCTCCTTTTCCTTATCTCACCTGCCTAGACCCAGCGTACTCAGCCCTAGCTACCGCGATTAAACAATCACAATCAAAAGTGGCATCGGCGTGCACATTTTTTGGTCCTTCGAGCCGGATCCGAGCAGCGCCATAGGGAAATTGCAGCGGCCACGAGGCTCATCGCTTGCAGTGGCTACGTACTCATCATAGCAGCCGCCACGAGGCTCATCAATATGGCGGCCATTTTAAGAACAGAGCACAACAAGGCATCGAGACCCATGTTGAGTCAAGTGCGCTATCTTGGCTCCTCAGCTGCGCGTAGTGCTGTCGCTCATATACATACACACTTACACGCGCACATATTCGACCCCGAGCGCGTACTGCTGTGCCGTCGTATGTATATACACATACACGCGCACACACAATCCAGAGTTGTTGGTGCTGTAGCGCGTACTGCCGTGCCGTCGTATGTATATACATATACACACGTGCATACACAATTTGAAGTTGCTGCTGCTGTAGTGCTGTGTGTTGTCGCTTGTGAGTGTCTATACATTAATAATTGTGCTACATCATTCGTGCCCGTCGAACAGCGTTCATTTGTGGTGGTGCTTGAGACCGTGCCTCTAGATAACACATACGCTCACGTGCCTGTCGACGGCACACTCGGAGAGGTACAGTCTGATCGTGTGGTTCGTTCGGGTAGAGTCCATGCACATTAACACACGCGCAGTACAGACGTCTCAAACCGCTAAGCTTAGAAGTAAATAAAGAGTCGTGAGTATTCTCGTACCGCTGCACCGGTGCCAAGCACCACGATATACAGCGCTCGAGCTCACGTGCTCATTACATACATACAGCTGCCTGGAACCCTCACGTAGGGCAGCTATATAGCGAAGTCTTCTCAGCGCATCGACATGCCGAACAACAATGACGATGTCGAGTCACTCGATGATGAGTACGAGAAACTTCTCCTTCAACAAAAGTCTCTCGCTACTTACATCAAAAACTTTATCGTCAACACGAGGAAAATCAAAGCGATAAAGCAGCTCACGACCTTTGATTTGAAAAACAGGATAAAGCTCTTACAAGGCTATTGGGATAAGTTTGAAAAAAACGACATGGAGATCTGCTCATGGGCAGACGACATACAAAATCAAACTTATATTACAGAAGCTGTGCATGACGCAACTCTCGAAGCCTTCATGCAAAGCCTGGGGCTTCTTCAAGAGTGCTTGGCTCGCTTTGAAAATCCTGCACCACCTAGAGGAAACCAATCAGAAAATAGAACAGCTGTTTATTCACAGCTGGAAAAGGTCAAACTGCTAACTTTCAACGGAGAGCAGAGAGACTGGCAAGGGTTTTCCGATAAGTTTACTGCGTTGGTAATCAATGACACGTCCGTCATGCCAGTGATCAAGTTTCAGCATCTGATTAACTTACTGAGTGGTGAGCCGGTGAACCTTCTACGTGGCATTAAGGTAGAAGGCGACAACTTCGATACAGCCTGGCAAGCCCTGGACAAGCGCTATGATGATAAGCTGCTGCGCTGTAACACATTCATAAAGGCCATATTAGAGATGCTGGCTGCATGCGAAGCATCTGTAATACACCTTAATCAGCTGTTGTCAACTATGAACGAGAGCTTGAACGTCTTTAACGCTCTCGCGCCTACATTGTCTAACTGTGATGCTCTACTAGCAAGCGAGAAGCTGGTCCTGCTCCGACTGCCAAGGGCAACAAAGCAAGAGATAAAGGCAAGCCAAAAGAGAAGCAGTCTACATCGGCCCTTCTGTCCACATCAACATCAAACAGCCTTCGAAGTCCACCTATCTCTATTGTTCAGAGATGCATTACATGGGCTTCTGCAAACAGTTCCTAGGGAAGTCGGTGCCGGAGCGCCGAGCCTTCGTACGAAGCAGCAAGCTCTGTTTCAACTGCATGGGCCCTTCTCATCAAGTGGGCGACTGCCCCTCCAAAAACACATGCCGCACCTATCAGAGCAAGCATCACACCGCTCAGCATATGGATCAAGCCGAGCAGCCAACCGTCGGTTCAAGACCTCCACAAAAGAAAGATAAGTATCAGACATCTGATTCCACTCAGCAGACTTCAGTGCTCGCTACATTTACCAGAAACACGAAACTGTTGTCCACAGCGATCGTGTCGCTGGTTTCAGACTCTGGCTTAGTCTACCAAGCCAGAGCCCTCTTGGACTCTTGTTCAGAGGAGTCTTACTTGTCAGACCATGTGGCCAGAGCACTGGGCCTCAAGGTTAAAGAGACCTGCTTGGCAGTCAACAGCCTGGGAAATTCAACCTCGATAGCCAGGGGTTGGGTTACTTTATCAGTTAAGTCCCCCTCTGATGATGGTTTTGATTTTCAGATAAAGACTTTGACGATGGGCAAGCTCACCTCAAAGCTTCCATCTAGCAACGTTTACTTCGGGAGTTGGAACCACCTCAAGGACTTGGACGTTGCCGATTGATTCTGTGGCACCTTAAGTCAGATTGATTGCCTACTGGGTTCTGAAGTCTTCGCCGCTGCCTTGCGCTCTGGCCTCATCATAGGTCCACCAGGCATGCCTTCAGCAATCTGTACGGTATTTGGTTGGATTCTTCTTGGAGGGTCTAAGCCATCCCCCGGCCTCGAGGTAAAGTCCACTCAATCATTTACTCTGACCGTCGACCAAGATTTGTCTGTCGTGTTACGGAAATTCTGGGAGGTTGAAGAGCCATTTAATGTCGATCATGGTTCTTCAGGCGATAAAAATTGCTATAGGCATTTCCAGGAGAACGTGCGACGAGATATCTCGGGTCGTTTTGTCATCCGCCTTCCGTTTTCCGACGCGCCCTCCCTTTTAGGTACTCGAGAAGCAGCTCTGGGCTCGCTACGGAGCATGGAACGCCACCGCCGGCTGATGGCATGCCCTGCATTTCGACAGGCATATAATACCTTCATGAAAGACTACGAGAGTCTTGGCCACATGTTGCCAGTCTCCGTTGGTCAACTCGAGCCGGAGCAGGTAGCCTACATTCCACACCACCCAGTAGTTCGGGACGATTTTTACAAAAGAATACGCATAGTCTTCAATGCATCAAGTAAGGATCGCCATGGTCGCTCGCTGAATAGCTTCATGCTCCCAGGCCCTAACCTTCTCGACAACATCCGCGCAATCCTGATGAGATGGAGATTCGATTGTTTCGCGTTTTCATGCGACATCGTAAGGATCTTTCACCAATTTCTAGTGGATTGTCGCGATCGCGACTGGCAACGAATATTGTGGCGTGAGTCACCAGACGATCCACCAACCGCTTTTCAGCTAAACACTGTCACTTACGGCACTGTTTCAGCCCCATTTCTCGCAAATGCGTGTATGCTTGAACTTGCTGTGCAAGAGTCCATCCGTATTCCTCTCCGATCTTCAGTTATCCAAACGAATCGATACGCGGACGATTTCTTTGTCGGAGCTGAGACGGAATCCGCGCTTTGCGAAAGGGCTCAAGAGCTCGAGAGTATTTTGTCATCAGCAGGCATGGAATTAGACAAATGGGCTTCTAATTCATGCACGCTGTTGAGCAGATTGAGCCCCAAGACTCTCCCATCTGTCGAGCTCCCGTCATATGCGGATGCACTTGCATCAGTTCTAGGCATGCTCTGGGCCCCCGCGTCGGACACCATGCTCTTTAAGGTCACAGCTTTGGAAAGCCAAGGGCTCGTCACCAAGCGTCAGATATTATCAAACGTGGCTAGACTCTACGACCCCCTTGGTTTTCTAGCTCCATTTATTATCAGGGCGAAAATTCTACTACAGAGTCTGTGGTTCCACGGTTTAGACTGGGACCAGGCTCTACCCCCATCAATTACACGGCTCTGGCAAGAATTTTCATCGGAACTCCCGAGAGTCAGCCAACTTCGCATTTCGCGATGGATCCGAGCTGACTCTTCGTCTCAGTGGGAACTGCACGGATTTTGTGACGCGTCTGAAAAGGCTTACGCAGCTGCGGTTTATGCAGTTGTGCACAGTGAGTCTTCCTCTCACTCAAGCCTTATAATTACAAAGTCACGAGTAGTTCCCCTCAAAACCTTGAGCGTACCGCGTCTCGAGATGTGTGCGGCTCATCTTCTCGCATTCTCGCACGTCTCATCAATTTTGTAGACAAAAGCACCCCAAGAGCTTCCTCGACCGTACATTGCTGGTCCGAGAAGTATTACAGCGTTTCTAATGATTAACGCTCAGGATAAAATCGACTGGAACAAGTGGCTCAGCCGATTTTCCTTGATTCAAAAGTTAATTCGAACCCTGTCATATGTACTTCGATTTAAAACCAACACCCTCAAACCCCTAGAACGACGGCTAACTTGGCTTTCAGTCCGAGAGATCCATGCTGGCCGGGTCTTCTTGTGGCGTTTAGTTTAAGGACTTACCTTACAAGACGAGACTCAATCTCTGTCAAATTCCGAAGAGGTAAGGTCATCGAGTTTCTTAAAAAGGCTCAACCGCTTCCTTGACATACTTGGTTTGATTAGAGTCGGTGGTCGTCTACACAAGACTGCCTTGACAGAAACCGAGAAACACCCCATTGCAACTACCCGCAAAGCATCATGTAGTCCGCTTCCTCGTTCGAGATGCACACCTCCTCACACTTCATGGAGATCCCTTGCTTACACATAGTACCTTGAACCGTCAATTTTGGATCCTACGTGCGAGGAATCTCGTTAGAGGGATAATATAAGCGTGCACCACATGTGCTCGGCTTAAGGCGGGAACCAATTCTCAAATGATGGGCGCCCTTCCTGCTCCTCGGTCATAACCATCGCGACCTTTCACACACACGGGCGTTGATTATGCCGGACCCTTTTGGTTAAAGGCTTCCCCCGGTCGTGGTCGAAAGGTCATGAAAGGCTACATCGCGGTCTTCGTGTGTCTTGCTACTAAAGCAACGCACATTGAAGTAGTCTCTGACTATTCCACACCAGCGTTTTTAGCAGCATTTCGCCGCTTCGTGTCTCGCCGAGGATTTTGTTTACACATGTATAGTGACAACGGCACCACTTTTCAAGGCGCCGACGCCGAACTTAGCCGCTTATCTAAAGAAACCTCTGCAGTAGGTCAGCAAGCGGCTTCCTCCGTAGCCAGTGAAGGAGTCAGTTGGTACATCACGCCACCTTACGTACCGAACTTCGGCGGACTCTGGGAGTCTACTGTCAAGGCGTGCAAGCATCATCTCAAGCGCGTGATTGGAGAGGCTCTCCTTATCTATGAGAAGCTCACTACGCTCATGAGTCAAATTGAAGCTTGCTTAAATTCAAAGCCTCTTGGGTATCTTAGCTCAACCGATGAAGACCCAGTCGCCTTAACCCCTGGGCACTTTCTGATAGGAGCCGCCCTTATTTCTCCTCCTGACACCACAGAACTAGATTCCAAAACTTGTCTCAGTTCTAGATGGAGGCATGTGCAGCAAATCCGCAATCGCTTCTCGTCTAGATGGAGTCAGGAATATCTCACTCAGCTGCAGCAACGCACCAAGTGGACGCGTGCTCAGCCCAACCTTAAAGTGGAAGAAGTAGTCCTAATCAAAAACGAACTTCAACCTGCCATAAAGTGGCTCATGGGCAGCATCGTGCGAACCTTCCCAGGAGAAGATGGCCTATGTCGGGTGGCAATGGTCCGCACGGCCAAGTCTGAACTTTGTCAGCCTGTCAGCAAGCTGGTGCCACTCACCACTTCGTCAACAACCTCACTTCCAGAGAACCAAGGGTGTCCTTCCACGGCGGGTGGTACGCCCAGTGTCATCACTGAAGATTAGACATTATTCATTTATTGGCCATAAGCCCATCATTTTCTAACCACGTTTGTAATGGTAACTTAGTTTAGGCCAGTTGAGGCATTTCTTTTCTGTACTCGCAATGATTGTAAGCCGTGTTTCAAAATATTCATTCAGTTCTTACTTTAATATTCATTACCCTTTCCTGGAACCGTAGTACTTTATTAATTAAACGCACTGTAAGCGACGTTTGACGGCGGCATGTTGTACCCGTTATTATTTGTAATAAAGGAGTGTGTGATTAGAAAAATACTGTGACATTAACTTTTAGTCTTATAAGATTTTTATAACATACAGGTACTGAACACTATCTATACTTAGCTATAGCAGAAAGGTGATATACAAACAAGACATAGATGGATATACATTGTCACTGCAGTGATGTACATAGTTACTGCTAAACCGACCGACACACTGCTGTACCTGTATGCACTGGACTGATCAAAACGAAAATTCTGTTTTCATAAGAAGTAAAACCATACAGAAAAATATCTTTTTTTCCACTTTACATTTCATTAAAAATATCATAATAATTCTTAGACACATATATTTGTTGAAAAACAAAACTTAATTTTTTTTTTAATCTTTGACCTCAGTGGTAGTTGCAGGAGCCCCCTTGAATAAGTTTCGAACTTTTCCTAAAAGAAGTCAGGGTTCTTCGAAATTTGTAACACACGTAATAAACAGTATAAGGCTGGCTTAGTAAATAATGTCTGTTGTAGCCGTTCTTTGTTTAAGGCCTATGGCCCCATCTATTTCTTTTCATCTTCAAGAGCACATAAATCAATAGTGGCATCTGCTTAACCTTAAAAATTTATTTTTGATTTTCAATTTTTGATAATGCAACTCTCCTCGCAAATTATCTTTCTTCGGTACGAACAACCGTACCAAGCTATCTTACAAAGGCTTTAGATCTTTGCACTTGGGAAGTATTAAAACTTATTTTAATAGTGTTTCCCAATGGACCATCAGAAACAGGTATTCACCTTTGTCTTCTCACTAGATTAATAACTACAAGTTGTTCAGAAATTTTTCAAGTCTTGTGTAAAGAAAAAAGTAAGTAAAACTTTTTGAAATAATTAATAAGGCCAATTTTTAACTTTGGATAAAAGTTGCTTCTACAAAAACTGGTTCTAATTGAAATTTACATAAAAAATATATTAAACAATTAGGAAATTGATTTGTAAGTTTAGAACAAAACATAGTTTTGTGCAAAAAAAATGTCAGATATTAGTTGATGTTCAAGCAAGTCTAGTTACAGCAGTTACTAGACCCCTTATCTTTTTTTCTGGGTAATTGAAAAACGAAATACTGTAGGTCCTACTAAAACAGGAACACTGCTATGTGCCAATAATTGACAGCTGACATAGTCGTTGCTTCTTTTATCTAACTTACTTGCACAGCTTGGCACAACAATTTTATAACTTATCATCTTAAAATTATGTTCTGACAAATACAAACCACGTATTAATTTGATAGAGAAGTATTTGTTTTACGCGCTAGCATTTTGATCTGTATACCTCAATGTATCATTAACAGAATGTCATCGAAACAAAATTGATTTTACTATTTAATGCATGATGCTGACATGTGGTTTAAATTTTCTACCATCTGTTACAAGTTTAATGTACCATAAAATTTTAGACACTTATGCACTTTTAAGATTTAAAGGATCTCGCAGCTGGTTTAACCATCGACTACTGTAAATTTTTTGTACTATTTTTTAGATAATACGTGACAGTATCTAATACGTAGTAGTTTCGTTTTTAAGATGATAGATGATTCTAATTTTCTCGTGAGGCAATCGGCAACATTTTTAGAAAATTATAAGACTTATAGAACAGCACCTTTGCTCAATCTTATTTTACTTTTCGAAAAAGTGTTGGCAAAAAAATAAGTACATTACTTTTTTAGACATGAAAAGAAAAAAATGAAAAAACGACTTTGTGCATTTAAATTTGCTAGTTCAACTTGCATGAACAGTTAGTCTGTACTTTTAAAATAATTAAAAAATGGATTCCATTCATTTAATCATAATGCTTAATCCAATCGTGAGAGTTGGTCACTTTAAGGAGGTTCATCACCTTGTATAAAAATGATCTTGATGTACATGGATAGCTAAGATTCTACACGATACACAAAGTAGTTCTGGCCCATTTTCTCTTTTCTTTTATTGGTTATCCTGTAGGAGGAAGTATTGTTTTGTATGTACGGATGAGAGCCTCAACTGTACGCTCACACTTAAGAGGTACGACAAATAAGTGTTACTTCTACAAGGTAATTTATGTACAAATCTACATGTTGATCTACATGCATATGTAAACTCCTACGTATGATGTGCGTCTGTATGTGTTTGAGTATTGTATAAGACTTGAGAAAATTAAAGATAAAAGCCACAACTAGACGGTCTTACCCATTAAGTACAATCAGTAATTTTTGCCTTCTCCCATAGAAAATACCATCGGTATATGGACTTCTGTAGACGTGAAAAATGGTAATTAAATAAATTGTTTGAAGGATAACAATAGATCTTTACACTCCTTTGTCTTTGATTATTTAAAAAAAGCTTCTTAATATAAATTTTGCAAATCATATTCATAAAGTATGAATTACATCATTTACATATTATTCATTGTTGTGACGTAAGAACATTGTATAGTCTAATCTAAGCGCACATACTTATATAAACAACAACCACGAATTGTGCACATAGCGCCAAGTAATACAGTTAGTCAAGTTCTAGCTTTCGTCGTAATCAGTCACTCTTTAGCCGTTAAGGTCACGATGTATAACATACAATAAGTTTATTTCTCAATATATAATTATACTTCTAATACTTCCTTTTATTATTACCAACATGGTAACAGAGCGTTGTTTCTTTTGTCTTTGATTTTCTTGCGCTGATTCATTGGTCCATGAAAATCAACTTAAGATAAGGTCCAGGTGAAAGTATCAATCCAAGACAAAAAATTCAAAAAATTTTATATAATCGATTACAGTCGTTAAAAACGTCAATCCAGTAATTAAAACAAGTATTTATTTAGGTTACCGGTAATCCAGTAGTGAGAATAAAAACAATATCTGAAGTGTATAAATATCAAGTGATCAAGACAAATTAGGTATGAGCGCGCGGTGGCTCGGTCGGCTAGGTCGTGGATTGGCACGCGGGACACCGTGGTTCGATTCCCGGCCAGTGCGACTTTTGGGCAAGTACCTCTGTGAATCTCACATGTGCTTTTTCACAACGCAATGCTCCTCGAGGAGGGTCTAGGCAACCTTCTCGCAGCCAAAATTGCCTAATTTCCCCCTACCCCCCTCCCAGTCATGGGAGGCCTCCCATCCCTTTCCTTGTCCCTTTCCCAAGTGCTAAGTGCCCATAGTAGTGCCCTTATTAAAGGAGCCGGACGTAGAGCACTGTAATATAAAAAAAAAAAAAAAAAAAATTAGGTATGGACAAGGACATAAAATATTTAAGAAAAATATTCGTAAAAATAGCAAGATAAAATGGCATATATGAGGTGATGAATTTTAAAAACTATATAAGACTGAGTCCACAGCACTACAGATGATTTATCGAGAAAAAATATAACAAGTTAAAATTAAAAAAAAACTTTTTAAAAAAATAAGGAATTTGTAGCTTAGTTAGAGTGAACTGTTCATAAACACACAGAGATACTTTTTCTTTAAAAACATGATATATATTCAGCCTTCACTCGCGTAGTGGTGTAATCTCACTCGCTTATCTAAGTGAGCTTCAAGCGTTCATTGAAAATGAGTAAAAAGAAACTTCATCCACTGAGATTTTAAGTTAACCTACTTGTAGAGGTGAGTGAAAACTCTAAAGTTTTAAGGTGCTTAGTTAACTTATGATAGCCAGGCGATAGTTTTTTTTTTTTTTTGTGGAGGGAGGGGAAACGCATTGAGGCACACCGCAGGGACAGCGACAGTGTGGGACTCGGTGGATTTTTTTTATTATACCACCCATACCCACTAAAACCCCCCCCATGCCGCGTGGCTTTTGATCCACCCCGGAACCGCGTTAGCATTACTTCGTGGTGGCGCCACCAGGGAAACCATCGCGTCTCACAGCATTAACGAGCTAACTCGCCACCATTTGCTAGAGGTGCTGATGCTCTCGAGTCCTGAATAGGACTCGGGTTCCCTAAGGACCAGCACCTTGTCTAGCGCTTCATAGTAGGCCGCCTACTTAGCCAGCACCACTATAAGCTTAATGCTTTCCCTTGCTGATAGGTAAAAAGTACCCAGCGCAGCGTGGGTCCACATAAGCTTGTCTTTCAACTCAAGGCCTTTTTGCCTTATTTTGTTCCTGCTTGGGCCTTATCCCTGGCCTCTTTCAGGGCTCTTCTGAATAAAATGCAGCTCCCACTGCCTGCTTCGTGCTTGTTGGTCCGTTGTTGGGCAAAGGAAGCACCGTGCTGGGCCTGGACACTCTTTCTTCCAGTGGTTTGAGCTTCCATACCAGAAGCAAAGCTTGGATCCGTTTTCGTTCTCACAGTTGCCTGAGACCTGCCCATATCCCAGTCATTTGTAACAACTTGTTACTTTAATTCTTCTTCGAATTCGGCAGCTTACAAAGCCAACTCATAACCTGCGTTTCTTTTCTACTTGTCTGGCAGATGCTTCGTCCACCTTTATTAAAGCCAGCTTCTGTCCTCTGACATTTGGCTTTAAGAGAGCAACTTCTGGCTCCTGGCTCTGATGTCCAAAAGTCCTAGCGAAAGCCTCTTTGACCTCATTTTCCTCTACAATGGCATCCAGGTCTCGGACCTCTAATGTCACTTTTCTGTCGCTCATTTTGACAGTACCCTATCCGGCTACCGACTTTTCAATTTGCTGTGAGAATGCAGTAGCATTCTCTACACCTTTGGCCTTAATAAGTATGTCTCCTTTTTTTGTAGTGACAACTCTTTGGACTGCCACTTTAGCCTTATCAGAGTCAAAGTTCGCCTTCATATTCTTCA